TGTATGACAGGAAACTTCAAAGGCACGGGTTCGGGATGTGGGACTGTTTAGGGCAAAGCAAAAGTCCAGATGTGACGGTTTTAAATATGTGACCAGTTGTAGTTTGATCATTTGACAAGTGTTTTGCATTTACATAGTATGTTGGTTGCAAAATAGTGAGACCTAATAGCATTACGACAAATTCGACGAGCTCAGTCAACGTTTTCACAACAAACACATTTTTATATAAATGGAGCGTACGAAATTTAAAATTAACCATTATAAGGAGGTAGAACATCTTCGTAAAACTACTGAAAAACAGCCCTGAGGCTATGCCAGCTTCCTGTCAGAATTATTCCAAATTATAGGCAACAAGTCGTTTTCATTAATTTAGTATTTTCTGTTAATTTCTAAAATGAGTCAAATAGCGCGAAAGATTAATGAAATGCCTTAATGTTCTCTCAAAAATATGATCCAAGTGTTCAATATTTCAATTCCATAGCAAATCTGGTTAATATTACTAATGCTGGCCACGCAATTTAAGTTTCTTCCAATCATTGATTTTGAAAGTATTTTGTTTTTGTTTTTCAAAACAGCAAATACATACACAAAATTGGCAGAAGTCGGGCACACTTAGAAAAAAATTGTAATCAGCTGGAAGCTCTATCTTACCTTTTTATTGTACCATGCCACGCTCGACATATGTTCATTTAAAAAGCAAAATTAGTTGACATTCAGCCCTTAATGTAACACCCATGCCTAATAAAACCGACGTAGGTTCCGGCGTTTTTCACCACAAGAATTTAATACATCTATATCTATAAACGAGGAAAATGTTTGTACATTTGATAGATTTTCCTGAAAATTTCCAAGTATACTACAACATTGGCAGAAAGTAACATAGGCTACATACATTTTTGAAATCAAAATCGGAGGTAACTCCAAAAAATTTAGATTTTATATGCACATATCTATTGATCTATTACAGATATAGTCTACAAAATTCGAATGTGTAATGGAACAAAAATAAATTTGCCAGATTATATTGAAATCGGTTCAGACTTGGATATATCTCCCACTATAAAACTCCGGTACAGAATTGCATTTTCCTTGTTTCTTCGAAGTTGAGCAATCTTTCTTATTCAGCCATGGTAGATCCTATGGGTTATGTACCTTCAAATTTTATGTAATATATTTGGAAAAAAATTTAAGTTTTTTCTTGTTAGATTGCATACTTTGAGTTAGCCCAACAAATTCCGAATGTAAGGCTAAATCATTGTAAAACTAAGATGATAAAATCATATGTTTACAATTTTTTCAAAGTGATTCATTTGATAACATCTCATTATCAAAATGTATATTTATGAATTCATTAGACATACACAAATCAGTGAAATTTGACAAGGTAAATTACGCTCTCTTGGGATGTAAAGCATCCATTATATTTTCTTATTCGATTGTTTCCCTTATTATTGATGTTGTCTTTATCAGCACAGCTTTCTGCATTTCGGTTAGGATCTTGCTACGTAAGTTAAACTTTTCTATAGATTTTGTAGTTTCCATTGGTATAGTACCTAAAGAGCTTATTACTATTGGTAGAATTTCTATTTTCTGCAGTGATAATGAGTTTTTCAGGTACTGTCATAATGGTTGGTATTTAGATTTCTTTGTGTTGATGGTTTCTACTATGTTGTTGCCTAGTGGGACTGCGAAATCTATTATTGTGTGTGCTGTGTATGCTGTCTTGGTATGATTATCATATCTGGTCTATTTGGTATGGTTATATCTGGTGGATTATTCACCAGTATTGATCTATCCCAGTATATGGTATAGTTGTCGGTTTCTAGTATGGGCTTCGGGTGGTATTTGTAGTACTATGTAGTGCGTTCATTGATCTTTAATGATTTGATTATAATCATGTAGATTATTTTTCCAATATTTTTGTGTCTTGTTGTGTAATGGTTGTGCGTTAGTGTAGTGCAAGTGTCGAGTAGATGTGCTATTGTTTCTGAGGCTCTCCTTCTCCTTCGGCCACTCCGAACTTTTCTATTTATTTACTTCTTTTTGTCGCTTGTATACAAATTTTTATCTCAGATTTCACAGAACAAGAATTGAGCACCTGTGTGTTGTTGATCCAAAACAGCCAAGCTTAAGACCTGAAGCTATTGCTTTTCTTTCTAGATTTACTCTCTGCAACCAGAAAAGAGCTGTTGATAAAATGTATGAAACGATTTAACAGATGATTTCGGGCATTAACAATTATAATAAGCTTGACAAATATTCAATCAGGGTGTTTCTGTTTAATATTATTATGACATTTTCGACGTATGTATGATACGTCGGAAAAGTATGTTATGCGTCACAATTATTTTGAGTAACTGATTTTCAGAGTGTAGTGTATCATATGCTCGGTCTCACGGAATAATGTGATAATTTACTTTAACGTATGTCCACTAACTTCTTACTTGTGGCTAAAGTCATCAAAACACCGAATATAGGGAGCTACCATTGTATGGGGATATAGGAAAGCGTGGATCTATAAGTCGGAAAAGTATGTCATATGCGTCACAATTTCTGACAGGTCACTTATGATTTTAAGTAACTAATTCTCAAAGTGTAGTGTCATAAAGTCATCAAAATACCACAATATGGAGGTAGAACTGCTCCGTAAAACTATAGAAATACAACCCTAATGCTGGAAATGAAATGGCTAGATTTCTCTCAAAAATATATCCAAACTGTTCTATCTTTCAATTTCAAGGCTAAACTGTCCAATCATTGGTTTTGAAAACATTTTGTTTTCACTTTCCAAAACAATAAATAGATACACAAAATTGGCAGAAGTCGGGCACACTTAGAAAAAAATCAGGTGGTAGTTCTACCTTACCTTTTTATTGTACCATGGGAGCTACCGTTGTATTTGGATATAGGAAAGCTTGGATCCATGTATAAAATGACCTACCACAAGAGATGAGAGAAAATTAAGTGTGACCAAGGATAGTTAAAATACCGAATATCGGGAGGCACAGTTATATGGGGCCAGTACGATTTCTTCAGGGAGGCAAACACAACTTCTATCCAATTTTTTTTTTCGTTCGTTCCCACGCCTCTCACACCCGCACATGCCGACCGCGGGGGCCACCTCTCTATACGTAGAGAGCGCGTACACACCAAAGTCCGGACTAAAGCGGGTTAGCAATGGTTTCACACCGGCTACAGAAACTACATCAGCCAGGAAATGTGATAAAAAAACAAAGGAAGAAAGTATTTTATTTTTTTTTTTTTTCATTTGAGTTTTGAAGTTTCCAGATAATTGAAAAGTTGTGATGTGAAAAGTTATTTTTGTTATTGGATTATTGACGAAATAAACGAAGAACGCTAGAAGAGTGAAATGTCAATTTTTCTTTACATAATAATATTCGATACCTATATCTTAAACGTCTCAAATTTTTTTGTTTTCTAATGTAAACAAATGTCAGCTCTACTCATGATATCAAATGCGCCCAATCATCAAAAATATTTATTGTTTTATTTTTATTTTTTAGGGAACTCTTTTAAATGAAATGACCTTTAGAGACAATTGATTGCTGTGGACATTTCGTGAGAAAACTACTTGCGTATGTACACAGAAATGCATTTCAAAAGCACTGGGGGGATCGACTAGTAAAACGTAAACTTTTTCATGTAGAATGTAGAAAAAATGTCCGAGCCCCCTCGCACCCAACGAATATGGTCCTGTTTGCATATACGATTGAAGAAGTTCTTATGAATTAACTCATCAACCGCAAAGACATTAGGTGTGTCTGGTTACTTTTCCAGCAGTAATTGTTCAGCAACTTCTTTCTGAGAGAAAAGGTAGTTTTATTTTTTTATTTTTTATTTTTTTTTTTTTTTTGTTGCAAGGAAAATTGCGAAAAGTAAACAGACGGTATTCCTGTAGAAGCTTGACACTAATCAGCTGATTTGTCACAACAAACCAATTTGTCCCCCATAAGGAGAATTAAAACAAAAGAAGCAATACTAATTTTACAAGTTTTTTAATAAAAATGTTGGAAATAGTCTTTTATTTTCTTATTACATATTAACATTTACGTTTTTCACATTTTGTAAAGTTGTTCTCCAAAAACTATTAGTCTTGCTAATTAAAAAAAAATTCAAATTGAAAGCACAAAAGTAAATAAACAAGCAATAGAAAACATCTGATTGAATGTCGATGAATGAGAAGAAGAAGAGTTGCAAGTGATTGCAAGAAGAAATTTGTCCAGCAAGAATTTGCAAACTCTCACTGAAAGAACTGTCAAAATTTCTCTCTCCAACCGCTCTCTTTTGCAGAACTTTCGGGTTAACAGACGACTTCTAGTAACAATTTGTAACAATTGTTACAAATTTTAGGGCAACCAGACACACCTATTATGTCCAGTATGACCAAGAAAATGGTAGATTCTGCATACATATGCTATATTACACATAAACGTATGTGTACATGTTTTATTTATGTATGTACAATTTAGATATCTTCCAACAAAGTGGTGTACAGAGGAATGGCTGAACTGTCTGTCATTGTTAAATTGAGATGAAATGATTTGATGTCAATTGCTTCGAATCTCAAATCAACAATCACCAGCATTGGTGTGCGGTGGTGTACTCTCCACTGACCAGTTACCACCATCGACTGAATAGACTTTCTGTCGTCGTCTCAAGTCTCGATCGTTTGTCTGATCATAAAGTGTATTTTATGATCTGGCTGGTTGTCTTGTCGCCCTTCTGGCCGTCGATGCAGATAGCTAAAAGACCGTGGAAATTTGCAAATTGACTTTGAATATTTTTATGACATTTATCTCTTGTTATCAATGTTTTTCTCCATAATGAACAATAAACAACTGAATATAGCGTAAAAATGGTTTGTCCCATATTCCCTTCTAACAGCAGATACCTACATAACAATAATGAAATGGATACATATACACGCACACACGCATCTCTATAATCAATATTTTTCTTTTCATCTTCTTCAATTCCAGATGTTCAGTGCCGTCTACTTAAGGGCAAGCAAATGATCAGATGTACCGGATAACATTCGTATTCAGATGCTACAGTTGGTAACAACAACAACAACAACCACCATAGCAACGACGTCGACAAGATCGCCAGCAACTACAACAACGAATAAGCCTTTCTGATAACTACCTGCTGTTTTCTACACTAAAAATAAACTCCGAAGAGCAAATCATCGATCGCCAGGCCGCCGCCTTACAAATTCTTCTGGTGGTACTTTTCTTTACCCAACCCGCTCTTGCTTACATTTCGCTCTCTTCGCTCACTGGCGCTCTCCCATACGATATCATCTGGGTGTGTTTTAAGTAGTCACTTAAGGGCAACTGAAGAGTTTGTGATATTTTCAAGTCAGTGTACAGAAGGCATGTTTATGCCTCGGTCGCGTTAATATTCTTTGATTCAAATGAAAACCGTCGGCATCCGATCTACAAATGCGTTGTGTTAGAAAATACCGCAAACGAATGATCTGCTCTTTAGAAAGAAAGTGAAACATAAATGCATGCTCAAAGTTATACGAAGTCGTTCGTAATTTTATTAAAGTGCACAACATATTCAAATAAAGTGAAATAAACATATAATTAATGAGTGCGAAAGTGTGATATTAGTGATAATTGTACAACTTTATCCTCATACAAATTAGTAGCATTGGATATTCGTGGGTTACTTCGTGTCTGGCCCATGTTCAAGACTAAATATGCGGAATTACAAAGCCCCAATTCGGTGTAAAGGAGGCACACGGAGAGGAAACGTACACGTTTCTCCTTTCTGGTTACTTTTTCGGATACTTACTGGTTATGTGGTACTCGCAGCTTGCATATCGTCGAGGGTGTCCGCCGATCCATTTGGTGGCGGTTCTGTAGGCATACATATTCCCGGCATCGGTCTGGGCTCAATTACCGAGTCTCGATGTCCCCGAGTGTGTTCTTGCAACGGATTAACGGTCGACTGTTCACATCGTGGATTGACGCAGGTTCCACGTAAAATATCTGCTGACGTTGAGAGATTGTAAGTATAGAAAAAATCTTTGTTTGCAAACTTTTTATTATTTCTGTAATGTATACTGGTTGGGTTTTATAACGGATTTCGTGTTGTGGGTAGGCAAATCTTTAAAAAAAACGACCCGTTAATTAAACAGAAATGTGTTTGCTTGATTAATTTAAAATTAATTGTTGCCAAAAAATAGGGTTCTTAACTCATAATAAACTCAGGACACAAAATGTGTGTTGTGATGAATGAAATATGATCTACTTTTGGATATTTGTCTTACTAGGCCAGGTAATTAGCAACAAGTAAAAAAGCTGTAAGTTCGGCTGGGGCGAACTTTGAATTCCCTCCACCATGAATATGCCAATTCTCAAAAACAATAAAATCCGTTAAAAATTCTGTTATAATCTTAAAAATACCGAATGTAGCTATTATATTAGGGTGTATACGACGACATGGACCTGCATAGGTAACTTATGTTATAAGCCATTACAATATTCAAATGCGAAATTTAAAAAAAAAGTGAATAATGTCGCTAAAATCATTAAAATACCGAATATCGGGCTATACCAAAACGTGGACAATGGACTTTCAATACCAAAAGTCCTGCAGACATAATATACATTTAAGTAAATTTTATCAATGTACTTCATTTCGTTCGGAAGCTAGAGTGATTTCCACAGACGAACGGACATCGCTAAATCGACATTGAATTTTATGCTGATCAAGTTGTGGGGTCTTAAATGTATATTTCGAGGTGTTACAAATGAAATGACATTCTTAATATACGCTCCATACTATGGTGGAGGGTATAAAAAAGGCCATTATCGGATTTTTATATTTTTTGTTAGTATATTCTTAGGCGTTGCACCAACAAAAATTACTATCCTCCCCTATTATATTAAAAAAAATAATCGGATGATGAATTCAAAGTCAACAAGTTGAAATACATGCATATGATTTCCGAAAGGGTATTCAAATTTCGAATATTTCTGATAGCGTCGTATGTAAAGTGATTTTTCATATTTTAAAATGAACACTTGTAGCAGACTTCTAAGTGCGCACAACAATATATAACTACTTTAGCATGGCACAATTAAGGTAGGGCAGAGCAAGCACCTGAATACAACTTTTTCTTTTGGTAGTCTTGTAATGTTAAAACTATATACAGTTTATTCAGATACAGATTGGTTTGAATAATAAACAAAAAATTATTTTGAAATTTTGAAAATTTTCGAATTCTGTTGAAATTTAAATTCATATTTACAGCTTTTGTGGATACTACACCTTCGCGTTCTGGGAAGAAAAGAATTGTCATCGTATTAGGGACCCAATGTTGTTAAAAACTTTCGTCGTCCATTTACTTTTCGCAATTTTCTCTTATATTAAAATATTATGAGAAAAGTGTCACTAGCAACTTGTTGCATTTGTTATTATTAATTCTGAAGCTTCCTACCTTCTAATTTTTGTACGATGCTGTAAAGCGTTTCCTTTCTGGAAACAAATTGGGCGAAGTGCCTTAAAATATGTTATAAAATGGTTAACATAAATGTATAAAAAGTAGCTTTACATATTAAATGACATGAATCTAAACACCCAAACTAGATTTTTATCTAATTAGTTAAGTACTGAACTCAATTTTTGATCCAAAACGTTATTTTCATAGATGGAAACAGATGGCGGAACATATCATGTCAGCCTTTCAGTGTGACGATAATCGGGCCAATTTAACTCACCAATGTTCAAGCGTTCGAGCTGTGGATGAAAACCGATCAATTTTATGCCTTTTCAACGTCTTAGTCACATGGACGAAGATAATGAATATTCTAATGCGCATAGGTAAACAAAGCAGTGAAGTTCGACCATGCGAAACTATTTATATCCTCCACCATACGAAAGGCTTAAATCTCAAATCGGATGAAAAATGTATATGAGATCTATCGCTGAACCTGTTTTCCAAAAATTAAATAACTATTCAAGCTCGAGATCAGATTATTATAAATATGTTCTTTATTCATATCGATATTTCGCAATTAACTGAACTGCATCTTCAGGATAAATAGTATACAATAAATACTCATTTCATTAATTATCACATAGTTTTTCATTCTTATGGCTAGTTTATGAGGTCAAGTATAATATTTGTTTTAAAGTAGAGTAGCTTCACTACCATCGGCAAGTCAATTTTTAACTGTTATTTCGTTTTGTATTGCGATCTATATGTATTTTTTGCTTTGGTATCAATACTCTGTAGCTTAAAACACTGTTGTCGAATGCGTTTAAAGTTCATACGTTTTGTTGCTGGCACATTAAGAATATGCAGCATCACTTTCGAATATTCTCCCACTCTCAAAGTCTGGATTATGAGTTGAGTTGGTACAGTGGGTCACGAGTGCTATTTTTGGTTTATTATTTTGGTGTCTAAGTTTTATATCTGATTTATGTCCAGCTTAACTTTTCGCAACTTTTTTTTTTGTTTGGTATATAATATTGCTTCTTCCATTTTTATTTTCACTTAAATATTAGCTAAAAATCGAATTGACGGCAATATGTAGTAGCTAAACCTATACATGTATACATGTAAGTCAAACGCCATAATTTTTAATTTTTTAAATTTTATTGAATGAAAGCAAAAAATGTAGGAAATACCATCAAATTTTAGAATACGTTTAGATTTGTTCGTATTGGTCATCCTTTAGCACGAATTATGGCCTTCAAACCGCCAATGAAATTGTCACACGCTGCCCGAATGTTGTTCTGCGGTATTTTGGCACATTCTCGGCGAAGCGATTGCTTAGGGTGATCGACACTTTGGTATTTTTTAGTGCCAACCTTGCTTTCCAAAATACTCCAGACACAATAGTCCAACAGATTGGTATCCTAGGTCTGCGGCCAAAAGGTTGCGTGCTCAAGAGTTTAATACACCCTCCATAATATTTTCGCGACAATATTCGGCATTTATTCTGATGCCACAGTCGATTAATAAGAGCGGAGAGCGACCATCGGCTGTTATGGCGGCCCACACCATCACCATGGCCGGCGCTCAAGTTCTGGTGGCCAACCGACGGTGCACATTTTCAGCTGACCTCTTTGGCAAGTTAACACGATCATTTTGTTTGTTTACAAACTGCTGGACAACGAATTTTTTCTCATCGGAGAAAACCAAATTCGGTAGTTCACCACTTTCGGCCAAGCGAAGCAACTCTTTACCTCTTTTGAGTATATTTTCTTTCTGTTTCGGTGAAGTTCTTTTTTTTTCTGGAAAATTCACACCAAAATCCTTTTTAGGAAGGAAAAAACAGGATTAGAATTAAATCTGTCTAAAAATATATTCTCATACCCAACAATTACATTTGCTTACATATTCGTTTTTGATATATATATTTTTGGAATTAACATTTTTTTTGTAAAGCAACAAAATGCCGAGAATGGGAGGTACTTTTTAGGGGATATATCGAAATTGGGACCTATATTTACAATTTCTTTCAGAAGTTTGGATTGAATTTAATAAATGTGAAACACTAAGTTTAGTTCTGATCAAGAATGCCCAGAACATCTATGCGTACCCTTCCTTGAGATGGGCCATCACATTCATCCGGCGATCTTTTGTAAATGACTCAATACATGCCAATCGCCATTTTATTTATTTCCAATTTCGTATGTCTACATCTAACGGTGCCTCCCGACATTCAATATATTAAGGTATTTAAAACCCATTATAAGCGTATTTTCAGTTAGAATTATAAGAAACCAAAAATTTTCTAACAATGTTTTTATTTAATATTCAGGAGATTTTCAATCCCATTAGGTAATTTTATAAGCTTCAAAATTACGGAATCTAAAAAACGCTTGCCCAAAAATATAAAATGTGACACATGTCAGAATTTCTATCCTATCTCCGAACTTTTCTAAGCTTCATCGACGCTTGTGGTATCCTCTTTATAGATCAAAACATTCACAAAAATAAAATCATTTCTTATTTCCCCCTCATTCTTTGGATAATTCTACAGCTCGCTTTTACAATGATCCAATCAAAATTATGACATATAAAGTTTAGATGGACGGACGCACATAGATAGATTGACTCATGACAAGGTAGGCTAACTTTGAAAAAATTGCAAGTATAGAGGTCTACCTGTTTGGCTTGTAATGTCGGAATTACTATCAAAACAATGAAAAAGCAAACAACTTGTTGCATTGATTTTGAATAAATAATTTAAAACCGCGAAGACTGAATGATAGTTCAAAATTTCTTTTCTAAATCATGTTCTATATATCTCTTATGGTTTATTTCGCGACAAAAACTGTAGATTTTGTCGATGCATATGTTGCAGTAAGCATTTTGAAAACAACCGAATTTGAATATTTTCTGAACAATTTTTTTATTATTGAAAAGAATACGCACACATAAACAAATTAAGTTGACATATTAAGCCAGAAAAATAAAAAAAAAATTAAAATCATATGGTAGTTCTGCCCTAACTTGAATTCATTGTACCATGTATTGACTTAAAGTAGTTGTCCATGTTAACTATGTTAAAATGTCCTATCCACATAGTGGTGTAGTCAGGGTCGAACAGCTGACGAAAATAAAAAGAGATCATAATTTTTATTTTTGTGTTTAAACTATTTACATATACTTTTCCATGAATAGATTCAGAAAACGAAGAATGGCTAATTGTTGTAATGAAAGCTAGATCGTTTTTTGTTCGATTTGTCAGATTGATAAAAAATAGTTATGCAAATGTGGTTCGCAAACTCCTATACTATGATCCACATCTCTCAATGGAAAAGATTAGCTGTTTTTTTACTTGTTATTTAATGGAAAAGCGCGAAAATGTACGTAACGAATATTTCGCAATATTTGACTTTGTTTCGTATTACTTTCAGAACGAAACTTACAGCCTTGCAATGTTTGCTGTTCGCTACCAATATCATAGTTTCATCCTGACGTATGGAATAGTCACTTGCAGCATTGATGTGACGATTTTGGAGCATTCACAAATGAATGAGAATCACAC